TCGTTTTTTCCGAGGAATATTAAATTTCACTGTGTAGCACAAATCACTGTGACTGTCCCACCAACTTATAATCATTTAAAAGACAGAAAAATTACAGTCTATTGAAATGAAAGAGATCAAATGCAGCCAAAACGCAAAAAAAATGAAAGCCACGATGTACTTTTTTGGACGTACAAAAACCAGGTTACAAACCCTAAACATGGCGACTGTATTATTGATGACGTCACGTTCACATCAAGAATACAAAGTTCTCAGACATAAAATGTCCTCGTTATTTTATTGTCTGAGAGGAAACTGTGAAGGTGGCAAAATTTTCACTCTTAAGCTGCAATAACAATTTGTCATATTTATGTCATTTTAGCCAGTAACTAGCAAGAAACTTATCACGTGCTTTCGTACAAGTATACTCGTCGTAGGTGGTCAAAGTACAGTACACCAACAGCTAATGGTGCAGTTTCCTCATTCTTGTAATTTTACCATGCATGTCACGTTTTAAATTTTGCTGCGTATAATAATAATGGAAGTACTTACGAAAATTGATATCCAGTTTGGTGTAGTCTTAAGAAATGATAGAATGTTGGTTATATTAGGGTAACCCTACCACTAGAGTGCCCCTAGCACGCATGTGTGAACGCTACTTATAAAACATATTTACATAGGGTGACTCGCTTTCTAGGATAACCTTCTGCTGGGGTTACCGTACCTCCATGTAAATAGTCTCTTAGCAAATTGCTTTTCTATATTTCATGGGAAATAGTCGAAAGAAATTCAACGCATAATTTAATAATAATGTAAGCAAAGCCATGTAATATATTTGAAAAATATCAGTTATAAAAATAACATGTAAATATATAATTCTTAAGTTTGGGATAGACGTGTGCTGTATATAGTATTTTATGATACAACTTGCAATACACAGTATATACATCATTAGAGTGAATCAATGGAGAAATAATTTCTCAACAAGCTTTAAAGTTTTACACATTTAACTTTACATATTTTTTATCCAGTGTAAGCTACAAGAATTTTTTGTAAGTTATAACGTTTGATGAATGTTTTCTTGCTTATACATAATTTTGTCCAAAAGGCAAAACTTCGGCCATAGCAGCATATCGTGGCTCGTTCATTGAAGGAAGATGTGTCCATGAAGAACTGCTTTCCATTTGAAAATACTCCACTGAGCTAAGGAACTTTTCTTTTTCGTTCTTTCCTCCCATGACAACAATTGTATCACCAGTTATAACTGCACAACACTGAGATCTCTTTTCCAACATGGATGGTAAGACAGTGATGTCACCTGTCTTACTGTCATACATGATAACACTGTTAAATATTTCTTGATCAGCGTTATGACCTCCAAGAAGAACAACTTGATCTCTCCATTGAACTGTTGCCATTCCAAACATTAGATAAGGTAATGGAGGCATTTCCTTGCATGTACAAGTAATTGGATCAAACTCCAAAACATTTAATGTAACTTCGTCATCTTTTCCCTCTCCTCCAAAAATAAGAACTTTGTCATTAACAATCTCAGCTCCATGGCCCACCCGTGATTCAGGCATATGACACAACTCTTTCAAAACATTAGATGTTGTACTGGTAATCTGTATTTCATTGATCAGATCAGATGTTGTTATTTTATCAAAATTACGTCCTCCAATGTGAAGAATTTGCTGTTTAAAAAGAAGACTGTGATGACCAGCACATTCATATGGAAGTTCTCTAGGACATGTCTTCCATTTTAAAGGGAACTGATTAAGATTCAATGTCTCTATTGACTTGCTACCAATTCCTCCAACAACAAATACATTATTATCATAAGTAAATGAAGAAGCCCAGCTGTGTTCAATGTTCATTTTTACAATGTTAAACCATTTCTTCTTCTGCCATGAAAATACTTCAACACCTTTTGAAAAGCAGTACGGTTCCCAACTACCTCCAGCAATCAAAATATCACATTTCAATGAATTTATCCCTGTTTCAATCGGTGTTGGCAAAGTTTGAACGTGTTGTTCATTTATATTCATCTTTTCCAACGTTTGAAACATCATGGCTTTCATTTTTTCCATTTCTTTCGTCATTGTAGAAAAAATTTGTTGAACATCTTTTATTTCTTTCCTTGCTTCCATCATTACTTCAGTCACTGTAGAAAGATTTCGTTGAATTTCTTTTATTTCTTTCCTTGATTCCATCGTTTCTTTCTGTATTTTCGAGTTTTGGTTCGTCAGTGACTCCATTTTTCTAGTTATTTCAGTCAGCTGCATTTTGTCTTGCTCCTCGTGATCAAAACTTTGTTGGACTATTTCTTTGATCTCTTCAAAGTAATGAGACGCAGTCTTTCTGTATTCACATAATTCAGTTTCATGTTTAATCTTGTCTCGTTTGTTTATTTCCTTGTCACAACGTTCATTAGAACACAACACTGGAGCAAAGCCACAATTTTCAACATGTCGTTCAAGATCTTCAATGTTGATGAATTCTTCACAACCGCGATTAGCGTAGTCGCAGCTAATCTTAAGCTTTGAAATCAAGTTATTAACAAAACGTGCTGGAAGAAGTGTAGCTACGGTCAAATTATCTTGACATTGAGGACATCTTTGTGCATTAACTCGTAGATGTTCTTCAATGCAATAACGGCAAAAGATGTGTTCGTTATGTTGACACATTCTGGCTTCTTTAACGACGTTAAGACAAATTGAACAGTAAAAAGTTTCATCAACAGCAGTCTTAAATCTTGAGTCATCATAGCCACACTCATAATCATTAGGACGATATGCCATTTCATACGTGCTCCTATTTAATTCAGCGTTAAAATTAATCCAACAATTGACGTTAACGCGACGTATTGAAGCTAGAAAATACGTTCAAATTTGCAGTTGATGTTTGATGAATGCGGAAGTTGAAAGCAAAGAATAAGAACGCATAGTATTATATTTTAATATTGTTATATGTCATGCAAAGCAAAGACAATAAAGATAAAACAAAATAATGCAATGAAGCAGATCTACAAAAGACATAAACAAAAATATGTATGCATCGCTAATATGTTGATGGACCTCGACTTTATTATGAAAAAGAAAGATACTACATGAGGTGCTTTTTAATAAGAACATGCACATTTGTTAGGTAACTACATATTTAGTAAAAGTACGATTTTTCATGTTATTATGTGCCAAAATTTATCCACAAGTTGACGGTCGATTTAAACTCCAAACTACATTTATTTGTTATCTTCACTGGTCAGAACCTTGGTGAGGACAAGCATTTTAAAACGGCTCAAGTTAGGTCGGTACCCTTTACTAGACATTTTTTTTGATTGTCAATAAATCTTATTTTAGACACATCGTGTGTAATTTTATTTAGTGTGATTATTGAACTCTTTCACTTGTTTGCAAGTTGGTATTGAATTATTTAATCCAGGTTTAGATAAGTATTGTAAAAACACCGTCAAAGAAACTATTAATTTTTTACAAAATTTCCCTTTGCAGGTGAAATGAAGACATGGCGAAGACTGATAAATTTGGTTAATATTTTGTATAATCTGTTCATACTTTGTGAAAGAATTCTATCAAATGGGCTTATTGAGATCATTAATTGAGAATTACTGTTTGGAACTATTAAAACAAATGTAAGAGAGAGAAAATATGACAATCTACCATTGACTAAAGTGACGACATTTTTTCAATATGCTTTTCATTCTATAGATAGTAAAGTTTTTCACTTGTGCATTTTACACAAAACCATGGACGTCGTATTGCACAATGTGTCTGAATACTTTAAAATGTCTGTATGTTTCCCATCAACCTTTCGATGTAATGCATAGGAAAATTTTATATTATTAACACTATGTGGATGACTGTCGGTACAATAAAAATATCATCAAATGCATCTGTTATACTGATAATGCAAACTTTATTAGCAACATGACGTCGCTAATTGAAAAATTAAGTAATAAAAGATGTTTACTGTGTTTGCACAGGCTTATGCAAACCGAGGAGAACTTTGGAGAACTTGAGAGCAGAACAGTGCAAGCCGAGACCCAAGGTCGAGTGTTGCACCTCTCGAGAGTTCCTCTTACGCACAGTCTAAAGCAAACACAGCTCTAGACCAATTAGCGCACAAATTTCATTGTGTTTATTTTATAAAACACGATATTATTGTGATGTGATTAAACACAAACTTTAATATGTTGAAAATGAAGAGAGAAATTCATGTATACTGTTTTGAAAAATCCAATCAGTAATGTCATCTTGAAATATCTGCTTAATAAAACTATAATTTCAGAAGCGAAATTTTTGCTTCAAAAGAACTTTATTAAGGAAAACGACCTCTGAAGATTTTCGTCATACAAATCTTTATATAAAACTTCAAAGACGAAATATTCATCAAATGTGCCAACATAATTGTTTAACAAATCAATTTTTGTGATGGTGCGGTTGTTTGGAAGTGAAAATGAGTTTTGCCGATGAAATATTTGTTAAAAGACAGCAACTGAAACACGCCGCAACTGTTTAAACTAATACTAAATATCGCACCATGGCTAAAATGACCTAATGTGTCTACCAAGTAATTCATGAACAAGTCCAAAGTCCAGCGCCCTAACTTTTATCAGTGCAAATTACAAATGCATTTTACATTGGGAACATCAATCCGGAAGTGACATGCACCAATCACAGTTCTTTAAAAGAGCTGCTGATTATAACAAAAGTTCATTAATCTTGGGCAGTTATCTTGAGAGAACTGAATTGAAATGTTTCTTACAAAATAACTTGGCGATATCACTCTGTCTTATCCATATACCCTGTGGTTTGAAAAAGTTACTAACTGAAGTAAATATAAAGATCATCGTACACTCAAATAGTTGGCCATAATAATCAATGGTTGCATAGACTTTGAAGGTTTACATATTTAACTTTACATATTTATCAACAAAGTTAAGCTTACATAATTTTTTTAAAGTTATAACATTCATATCGACGATTAGGTAAACATTTTTCTGCTTAATAATACTTTGGTCCAAAGGGTAAAACTTCAGCAATGGCTTGGGATCGTGGTTTTTTCATTGAAGGAAGGTATGTCCATGAAAAATTACTTCCCATTTTCAAACACTCCACTGATTTAAGATATTCACCTTTATCATTCACACCTCCCATGACAATAATTGTATCATCTGTTATAACTGCACAACACCCATATCTCTTTTCCAACATGGATGGTAAGAATGTTATCTTGCCATTGTTAATGTCATACATGACAACACTGTTCAATGCTTCTCTTCCATCATTACCTCCAAGAAGAACAACTTGATCTCTCCATCGAACTGTTGCCATTTCTAACAATGGATGAGATAATGGAGGCATTTTCTTACATTTAAGAATTCTTGGATCAAACTCCAAAACACTTGTTGCCCTTCCTCCAAAAATAAGGATTTATCATCAACAACAACAGCTCCATGGAGATGTCGTGGTCCAGGCATATGACACAGCTCTATTAAAACATTAGACGTGGCATGAGTATTCTGTATTTCACCGATCAGATCTGATTCTCCTTTAACTTTGATAAATCCTCCAATATGAAGTATTTGATGTTTAAAAGCAACAGTTTGATGACTTTGACATTCATAAGGAAACTCTGCAGGAAATTTCTCCCATGTCAAATGTAACTGATTAAGATTCAATTTTTCAATTGACTTGCAGCTACCTCCAACAACAAAAAGATTATTATAAATAAATGATGAAGCACTCTGGTGTTCACTTTTCATGTTAGCAATCTCAAACCATTTCTTCTTCTTCCATGAAAATATTTCAACACTCTTTAAAGAACCAATAGAGAAACCTCTAACAATCAAAATATCACTTCTTACTGAGTTCATCATTCCTTCAATTGGTGATGTCAATGTTTGAATAAGTTGTTCATTTCTATTCATTTTTTCCAAAGTTTCAAACATCATGGCTTTCATTTCTTTCATTTCCTTGGTTAAGGTAGAAAGATTTTGTAGAACATCTTTTATTTATTTCCTTGATTCCATCATTTCTTTGGTCACTGTAGAAAGATTTTGTTGAACATCTTTTATTTCTTTCCTTGATCCCATCATTTCTTTGGTCACTGTAGAAATATTTTGTTGAACATTTTTTATTTCTTTCCATGATTCCATCAGTTATTTCTGCATTTTTGTATTTTGCCTTATCAACGACTCTGTTTTTCTATTTGTTTCATTTAGCAGAAAGTTCACGTTTGTTTATCTCTTTGCCACAACGTTAATCAGAACTTAAAACTGGAGCAAAGTCACAATTTTCAACATGTCTTTCAAGATCTTCAACGTGTATAAATCTATGATAACCAAGTCTAAAGTAGTTGCAATTGATCTTTAAATTAGATACAAGTTTACACTGGAAGATACGTTGAAATTTTCTGTAGACGGATAATAATAACGGAAGCTGAGAGCAAAAAATAACAATGCCTCGCCACATTGGAGCCTGTGAAGATTTTGTGGTCAATATTTGACCATCAAGCGGGTGCAGCTGAACAAGTGTTGTCGCTATCTTGACAGCAAGATAACTGGATAACTCCAGCAAAATTCGTAATAGAAAACAATTTAAAGAGAAGTAGCCCGTCGCGTCAAAGACGCTAATATAGCTGTTCTGTTTTCATTTTGTGTTTGCCATAAACAAGTAATATTAAGAAAGGTAATTTCTATATTGTTTTACACTCTGAATCATTTATTAAGTGGAATCAATGATAGGGTTAACCTCAAATTCTCCAGCTGGGCCTTCAATTTACATAAAATTGTAATAGGTATCCTGAAAATATTTTTTAATAGATTCATGGTGGCGCGATCTTGTGCTTCCAATCTGCTAATTCATCCTAGTTTTGCAGTGCGGCATCTTTCTGGTTAGAAGTTTGTAAATACTTCTTTAACAAAACTGTATTGTAATTTGGAAGAAGGAAAATTGAGCTGACAAAACGTTTAGAAAATGCTCTGCTGATGTGTATTAACTTTATCTGTATTGTCGTGTATCTCCAACATTCCTCTGTTCATCTGTATTGTCGTGTATCTTCAACATTCCTCTGTGCATTTGTTTTAAATCTTGGAATGAATAGAATTTTGTTTTAAAGTCTTGACGATACTTCCGTAGACGAAAAATGGCTTTATGATTTGATTCTGCTTGTCTTTTCTGTCTTTTATTACTTCGATTTCCTTGATGAAAGAGAAATCTTCTTAAAGAAAATCAATGCGTGACATGCTCTTATTAATGGCACTTCTTTGTTTTTGTTTTGTTGATTTTAATGTGGGTATGTTGATACAATCTAAAAATGAATTTTGAATGTGTTTTTGAATGTTAGCAGAGTTGTACGTACTTTGTCAAAGGAAAACGAAGTCTTTTCACAAAAACGAAATTGCTTTACACAGGCGAACACAAGGTTAATTTGCCATTTAGTGTTCCTATTGAGTGTAGTTTACTTTCCTTGCATCTTTCTTGCATCGCTTTTCTGTTCATTGCTGTACATTTTTTAATGAGAAATCATCGCTCAATGCTAAAGATGTTGACGATGCAAGCGACAACGTAGCAGAAAATATTATACGATTACTCCAGGTATTCTTGAGATCTGTGACACCTTTTAAATGACATTAGTTGTGTATGCAGAATTAGTTAAGAGAAACACCGAAAAAATAATTCTTAATCCACTTCTGTCTATAAATTTCTCGAAAAGCTCTCAAAGATGTTGAAGATGTCAATGTTCTACTTATGAACGGAGTATCAAGGAATTTCGCTAGGTACCTGCGTCTATAAATAATCTTATTTTCATGTACAAATCTTTCTATTTTCGGCGCCAGATTGGAGAAACAATTGTTTGAGCTTTTGCTTTCTTAAACTCAGGAATGAATCAAGCTTTGTCGCAGAATTCACTGAGTTCGTCCAGAAAATTGATCTGCACTCTGATTCGGTTTGTTTTATGGAGTTTATTAGCAATGAACAATATACACAATCTCCCCGACTATTACAAATTTGAGTCTATTTATATGTTTACATTTTGTGACTTACGTGCACTACTACAACGTGAATTAATTAAGAGAGAAAATACTTAGGAAGTGTTAAGTATATACACCCTAATTTTTCATTATAATTTTGGCACACATAAAACTCTGCATGGGAACTTATAAAATCTGGCATGCAATAAAAAAATATAAATGAAATATCCTAAATTATACAACACTCTCCCCCCCTTGACTCACTCAGGAGTCAAGCATCGCCCTAACCTTCCACCTGGCGTCCAAAGCCGCCTTTCTCTTAGTCTTCTCCTTACATCCGCTAACTATATCCTCCTTAACAACCCCTTCAACCTTACTCTCGTCTTTAACCTCAACTGGATATAAATGCTGAATCGCTCTATTCAACACCTGGCGACGACCGTTTGTCATCACGCAAACCCTTGCACCACGAACGACCTTATCCTTGCCACAAATCAATTCCTGAATCACACCTGTCTTCCACTCCCCCCTTTTCTTACCCTGCTCAAACACAATGACCACATCCCCTGGCTTAATTATCGCCGACTGTTTGTCTGCCATCCCAACCTTATGAAATTCCCGAAGATTCGTGAGATACTCCCGTTTCCACCTGCTCCAAAAATGCTCCAGTATGGTACTTAAATGTTTGAATCGTATCCTAGTGTTTGTTCTAGTCGAATCTTGTCCTAAATCATTAATTTTTGAGTCCTTGCTATTGGGTAATGTCACGATGCGCCTACCATAGACTAAATGTGCAGGAGTAAGTACTTCACTATTCACTTCCTCGTACTCATACGTTAAGGGTCTAGAATTCAATTTAGCTTCAACTTCAGCTAGAACAGTTGTCAGTTCGTCGAAAGTAAGTTTTGCATTGCCCAAAACTTTCCTTAAACAGACTTTCACTAGCCCTATCATCCTTTCGAAAACCCTCCCACCATGGGGCCCTCTCTAGGTTAAATCGCCACTCAATGTTCTTAGCGCTAAGGCAATTATCTACTTCTTCGCATTGAAATAAGTCGCGCAACGTCTTTTTTGCGGCTTTAAATGTTTTGGCGTTGTCAGAAACAATAAGTTTCGGTGTTCCAAACCTTGCAAAAAAATCTTCTTAAACAGCGCAGAAATGTCGCTGCACTCAAATCGTGCACTAACTCTAAGTGAACCGCGCGTGTCACACAGCAGGTGAACAATGTACACCTTGCTCATACTTGCCTTTGTTTTTACGTACAAAGGTCCTGCAAAATCTACGCCTGAATTTTCAAATGGTGCGGCTCTCCTAACCCTAAACTCTGGTAACGCTGCTTGCTTTATTTGTGTACACGGCTTACTGTTCCATCGTTTACAAGCTACACATCCACCGCTCACTCTCTTAACTTCCTGTCTGCCCTTGGGTACCCAATACTTCGACCTCAGTTGCGCCAACGTGCTCCGAACTCCCCCATGCATAACAGATTCATGACACTGCCTAATCACTAGCTCTGTGAAATACTGTCTCCTAGGCAAAACAATCGGCTCTCTAGCTTCTGCCTCCAAATCTGATTCACCCAATCTTCCCGTACAATGCAGTATCCCGTTCATTTCTATCAGTCCGTACTGTCTTTCTAACTGCTTAAACTCGGGTTGCTCTCGTAACTCTAGCTGGGCTGACTTTATCCACTCGCATTCTCCATCATTCATTTCGCTCGCTTTTATTGGTCCGGTAAAAATTTCTAATCCTATTTTTTTTTGTTTCAAATTATAGACGAATCTCTTCACCCACGCAGTAACTCTTAACAGCCGTGTAAAGCCTAGGCCACACTATCGTCCATATCGACGAAAATTAGAAGGAAAACTTCCGCAACGAAAATTTTGAACGAAAACTCGACGAAAATTTCGTTTTCGTTCATATTAGAAGGGTTGAACTTTTGACCTTTTTCGTCAACGAAAACGCATACTATTGGCTAAAAATATCTTGATAATATCAGACTTTGTTCTCAAACATGGCGGAGTAGCAAGAGGTTTTGATAAATCTGATGCGAGAAAAACTAATTTTGTATGATAAAAGATTATAAGGACTCGAGGAACAAGAAAAGAAATCACTAGCAAGATGTTTTAGATGAATTTAATAAGATTACGGACTTGGCGTGGGATAGTGAGTATTATTGATAGTCCGCCGACAAACGTTTTATATCAAATCATTCATTTCCATTACTTTTTAAACATTTTAGCAGTAACTTTTTCTTAAGAAGAAGTAATCTTTTTCTTTTAGAGATCGCCATTGTTTCTAATCCGTCAAAAATGCCGCTTGCTTATTGGCCAATAATGTTTTGGCTTTGCAAACATGCTTGAAATTTTTCGTCGTGTCTGGCATGCATTTCGTGCACGAATTTTCGCTTCGTTTTCGTTTTCGTCAATATAGACGATAGTGTGGCCCAGGCTTAAGTGTGCTGTATTTACTTATGCTAATGACATTGCCAATTCCAAACAATGACCTTGCGCTTATGATTAGGTTAACAACAAATGACCTTTTCTCTTCAACCTTGCTGTCTACTGTTGGAACTATCTCCTTCACCATAGGATAATGCCTTGGACTACCCCGCAACCAAGACGGTCCTGACCACCAAACCTCCGCGTTTTTTAACTCAGTCATCAAGACCCCTCGCGACCCTAAATCTGCAGGGTTTTCCTTACCTGGACAATGACTCCACTCTGTTTTTGAACTAAGCCTTAATATTTCGTCAACTCTATGCTGAACAAATTGCTTCCAATTGCCTGAGTTGACTATCCAATACAAAACAGTCATACTATCAGTCCAATACTTAACGCCCTCAAAATTATACTCTGACTGGATTCTCAGGTTAGCAGTCCGATGGATGCGTGAGTCGGAATCGTATAGATTATAAGTAAATAATTTTTATTCGATCTAGTAAATAATTTTGTATAAATAACAAATGTGCAGTTTAACAGTATATCAAACGAAAATACATGAACTCACTTCTTTGCCGGGTCCTCACGATCTACATTAATTTCAATACAGGTTAGCCGATATAATAAAGTAATACAATGATGAAGCTTTCGCCCAGGTTAGCATGTGGTAACTGTCAGCTGCACTATAGACTCAAATCCTTTTTATCCCAATGAATATTGCGCGTCAAATTACGCGTCAGTTAAAACATGCATAAATTAAACTCTAGTGCTAAATAATTATATCCGTGCAGTTTGTCAGCAATCCACTGACTCTAACGCTTTCCTGACTGCAGACATTAAATGACCCAATATTCTAGCTGCCATTAATTCTAACCGCGGAATACTAAGTTCTTTCATCGGGGCTACTCTTGTTTTGCTGGCAATCAACTTAACACGAACATCGTTACCGTTCAAAACTACTAGATACACAACCGCACAATAAGCTCGCTTTGACGCATCCCCAAATCCATGCAAAAAATATCTCTGCTTTGATTCTGAGCCAGATGTGTCAGTCACGCCGCTCGAGTACCTGCCTATTGAAACACTCTTTACCTCCTTTAGATCTCTCAACCACTTCTCCCACTTCTCTTTCACACTTTTAGGCAATGTATCGTCCCAATTCACGCCACTGTAACAAATATCTTGAAAGAGAATTTTAGCTTTAACAAGATCGTGACTAAAACACCACACGAGTACATACGAGTACATACGAGTACATACAGTAACATACGAGTGACATGCGAGTACATACGAGTAACAAACAAGTACATACGAGTAACATACGAGTAACATACGACTATTTTCTGGTCAACCAGTGTTGCCACGCCTTGGGATTTCTCCCAAGATCTTGGGATTTTCTGCTCAAGCTTGGGATCTTGGGAGTTTTTTTCAAAATCTTGTAAAATCTTGGGATATTTTGTTTAAATATTTTATAGGTAATATTATCTCGTATTATGAATTTATAAATAAGTGTGACACGTGTTTATAAATAAGCTTGACAACCTTCACACCCTCCC